CAACTCGGTCGGTCGTTTTGAGAGTTGTAGCCCCATTCCCTTATTTACTGTTCATTCTGTACTTTATAGCTGTATTGTGATTTGTTAGGGTAGTCAGTTTGAGTCCGAAGAGATTTCGGAATGAATTGAGACACTTAGTCTCAAGGTTGAAAACTTAAGTTGAAAAGGTTGACCGAATATTGACTTATGTGTAAACGACTCCGAAATAGAGTTTTGATGATCCACAATAGCTCTGTATGGTGATTTTGGACTTAGGAGCGTGTCCGAAAAATTATTTGGAAGTCCGTAGCTAAATTAGGCTTGAAATGGCTAAAATAGAAATTTAAGTTTGGAAGTTTTGACCGGGGAGTTGATTTTTTGATATCGGAGTCGGAATCCAGTTCTGAAAATATTCATAGCTCCGTTATGTTATTTATGATTTGTGTGCAAAATTTGAGGTCAATCGGAATTAAATTGATAGGTTTCGGCATTGAATGTAGAAGTTGGAATTTTTAAGTTTTATTATGCTTGAATTTGGGTATGATTTGTGATTTTAGCGTTGTTTAATGTGATTTGAGATTTTAACTAAGTTCGTATGATGTTTTAGGACTTGTTTGTATATTTGGTTGAGGTCCCGGGGGCCTCGGGTGAGTTTCGAATGGTTAACGGATCGAAATTTGGACTTAAATAGCTGCTGAAATTTTCTGATACCTGTATCCGGTTTCCTTTATCGCGTTCGCGAGGGGAGTCTCGCATTCGCGAAGAGAAAATTCGGACTGGCCATTTTGTGCTTCGCGTTCGCGTCCGGGGGCACGCATTCGCGAAGAGGAAATTCGGACTGGCCATGTTGTGCTTCGCGTTCGCGACCGGGGGCACGCGTTCGCGAAGGTTCGAGGGGCAAGGCTACGCGTTCGCGATCGAGGCCCCGCGTTCGCGAAAGGGAAAGCCGGCATGGGGGAAATTTGGTCTTTGTGTTCGCGAGACCGGGCTCGCGTTCGCGAAGGAGGAAATACGGGCAGCACAAAAATGTGCTTCGCGAATGCGAGGGAGTTATCGCGTTCGCGAAGAAGAAACGCCCGGACAGAAACTTTAAGTTCTGACGTCCCATTTTCCATTTTTGACAAATTGGAGCTCGGAAAGAGGCAATTTATAAGAAAAATAACGGGGTAAGTGTTCTTAACTCAATTTTGATTAAAGTACCCGAATCTATGGTAGTTTTTAATATTTAATTTGTGGATTAAGTTGAAAAAATTATGAAAATTCCTAAGTTTAGATTGAAGATTTAAGGGTTGAGTTGATGTCGGAATTTAGTGATTGTGGTATAGTTGGACTCGTGGTTGAATGAGCGTTCATATTTTGTAACTTTTCTCGACTTCCGAGATGTAGGATCCACAGGCGGTTTTTGAGTTAAATTTCAGATTTTGTTGGAAAATAAATATTTTCATATGGAATTAATTTCCAATAATTTATATTGATTAAATCGAATTAATTGTGACTAGATACGAGGCTTTCGGAAGCTAATTCACGAGGTAAAGGCATAGCAGAGTAAAAAATTTTACGGTTCAATGTAAGTGACTTGTCTAACCTTATATGGGGGAAATTCCCCTTAGGATTTGTATTGATATGATAATTATGATGTGTTAAAAATCGTGTACGCGAGGTGACGAGTGTGTACACGGGCTAAATGTGAAGAACTCTGATTTTAAATTGTGTAGATCTCTGTTACATATTAATAAAATTATTTGATACGGTTATATTCATCATCATTGATCTATTTTTATTTTTAATTTACCTGACATTTTTCCTGCTAATTGCTTTACATGTTTAATTGAAACTTTGTTTCTTTTATTCTGTGCTCATTATTTGAAAGTTGAATTTTTTTTAATTGAATTATTATTAATATGAAGTATTTGATATTAAAAATTTTGGTACTGAGGCAATGTGTTAAATTTGTGAAATACTATATTTGTTGAGTTATTCACTTCCGAATATTTTGGGAGATTTTTTATTCATTGTGATTGAGTCGTGAGCTCCTTATTATGAAAAAATATTGCTGTTGTTGATTTATTTTGGCAAGTTAAAATATTTGGGCACTTGAGGTGCAAATTGTGATATATTGTGATATTGATATGCATGCGGTGGTATAAGGTTTGGGTGTTGAAACGCATGCGGTGAGATAAAGGTGGCTTTATACGCATTGCTAGTAGGGGAACTACTAGAAGTTAAGCGGTGTGATAAGGGTGGCTAAAATGCGGGATGCTATTTCGGAAAAAATATTTTCTTTAAAATTAAATGTGAAGGATCCCGCGGTGATATAAGAAAATGAGATATTGTGAATTTATTTATGATTTGGGACTACGAGGCGGTAGCTCGGGAGTGCCCTTATTGATATTTCTTTATGGTTGCATTGCCTTTGGTTATTTTGGTGTTTTCCTTAAAGTTATAAATTTTTATTTTTCTTCCGCGAGGTGTTATTTGCCCTTATTCTGTGTAGTTAAATTGTGACATACTACTTACTTGATTCATCCCCATTGTCATTATTATTATTATATTGTTAAACTTTTCACCATGTCTTTTATTATTCTAGTAGGGTTTGACCTGACCACGTCACTACTCTACCGAAGTTAGGCTTGGCACTTACTGGGTACCGCTGTGGTGTACTCATACTGCGCTTCTGCACGTCTTTTTGCGCAGATCCAGGTAGTTCCTATCAGACCAGGCATCAGTAAACTAGCCGTACGCGGAGACTTCAAGGTATATCTGCCAGCGTCCGCAGACCTCGAAGTCCCCTTCTATCTGTATTATGTTGTTTTCCTCATTCTCTTTAGACTCTGATGTATAGAGACACTTAGAATAAATTCTTAGAAACTTGTGACTTATTTCTTCCGGGTTTTGGAGTTGTAACTATTTGAATCGCGGTTTGATTTATTTTATATGTTGAGATTTGAGTTTCAGTTTTGTATTCCGCATAATTGATAGGTTTACCTAATCTTAGAGATTAGGTGCCATCACGACATCCTACGGAGGAAAATTGGGTTGTGGCACATTCCAAATAGCATAAAATAGTTTACTGTTGAAAATATTTGTGGCGTTTACGTAAAGGCACAAGACACTCTTTTTTACTTTATATTTTTGTATTCTAAATTTTAATTTTATTTTTTATTTTTGCAGACTTAAATAACTAGTAGAGGCAACGGTGTGGTTTTTTCCATTTCTTCATAAACATATATTCTCTATGGAAAAAACAAGAGAATAAGTCTCAGCGCATTTTCCTCTTATTTTTTCCTGAAAATTTGTAAGACAACTTTGAAGGGTGTTCAGAAGCTAGCTGAATTATTTTTACAGATAAGTTATCTTTAAGTATATCCTCAAACGCAATATTAAAAAATAAAATAAAAAAAAAAAGGAATCTTGGTTGTGGAGAAAAATTATGGGTTTTTTTACACAAATGGTCGTCCATATTCACTGTTTATTTTTTCTAGTCATATACATAAATTATACATATATTATATACTATTGTATATATATTATATATAAATTATACATATATCATACCTCCGACGGCTATATTTAGTTTAAGCGATTGAGTGAGTGGCTAATCGGGTTAATTCGTCTTCACTGGGAAAGGACAATTTTATCCAAACTTTGTAGTTAGATCTAAAAAAAAATGTGTTCTTTGTCAATATCAGATAAACGCCTTTTCTACTACTATCAATTTTTTGCCGCATTTTTTACTATCATTTAATTGTACAATGCATTATTAGTCTGCGAAATGTTACAGAAAAGTAGTATATTGCACTAAACTTATTGGATAAAGATGAATTATACACACTCCGAAGTTGAGAAAATAAGCTAACTTAATTATTCAGCTTTCAAATTCAAAAATAGTGTCTTAATAATTAAACATATTTCAGATTTAAACATCGTAATCGTGATAAAAACGAAGCAGCTGCCTTAAATTGCAAACACTTAAATTTCTCAAACGACCATCATTCAATTATTGAAAAAAGATACGAAGACTTTCATGTGTCAAAATATGTTGGAAAGCTCTCATTAATTTCAGTGCTGCATTGGTGACTTTTGAACAACTGCTGAGTGAGAGAATTGACTATTTGGGATTAGCATAATAAATAAGGTGGCTCTTCTCAAGCATTTCCTCCAACAACCAACCAACAATCCTCTGATTTCGTATAATTTTGGATATTCAGACGTTCTTTATTCAACCATATTTTCATGCATTTGATGTAAACAAATACTTCCCCATCTTTTTTTTTTTAAGTTGTTTTTACACATATCAAGGAATTCACATTTTAGCATTAATTAATAATGAAATTGACCATATTAATCTTAATTTGTTCATTGAAAATATAACAAATACTCCTAGGTTTTTTACTTCATGAGCAACTTTGGAAAAAAAAAGTTAATTCGTTCTTGATATCTGAAAAAATCAAATATTATGAATCACAAAATAAAGCAAAAAAATCAAATAAAGTGGACTGGATGGAGTAGCTCTAGCCCTGAGGACTTTGGATTTTGACGATTTCCAATACGTCACTTTTAGTTATTTATATAATGTTTCAATCAAGCTTCTGATTAACATCAAACAGCTTACTAATGCAATTAATAAACGAAGAAAATAAGTAGTGCATATTGACACAATTAAGAGGCCAAGTCATGAGTATATACAGCATTTTCTCACTTTTTTGTTGTTTCTTTTCCAACTTTACTGTTAGGAGATCAATGGAAATAGAGTAATTGACTAATATTTACTTTTATATTTTATTTGGAAATCAATAATGGGTTAGTTACCTGACCACCATGAAATACAAAGCATGCAATTTCATACAATTGTCGGTAAAAATTCACTTCAAGATTGTTTGTTGTTTGACATCAGAATTCTATATGTTGTACTATATGTGTTTTCATTTCACTGTTTCTAGTACTGAAATTCGTTAAGATAAAGACTTTTTAGAGTCAAGATATATTATTGGCATGAGAATGAGCCGCATACACACCATCTCCATTCACAATACATTATATAAAGGACAAGCACAAACACAAAAAGTCCCAAATTTTTATATCTCAAAGATAACCATTTAATATCTCCCCTAATTAGTTAGCTTCAAGACTCAAATAAAAATGGTGGAGAGAGAACAAGTCAGACCATTAGCTCCAGCATCAGAGCGGCCTAGCAGCGACGACGACGAAACAGCGTTAAACAAGAGAAGATTTCATAAAAGAAGATGCATCAAATGTTGTGGTTTTGTATCTATCCTTCTTCTCATTCTAGCCATAATAATCATCATTTTGATCTTCACAGTGTTCAAAATAAAAGACCCTATTATTAGAATGAACGGTGTCACAGTGGATAAATTAGACCTCGTTAACACTGGCACCATACCCATGCCCAAACCAGGTTCCAACATGACAATAAAAGCTGACGTATCAGTAAGAAATCCTAATTATGCATCATTTAGGTATAGTAACACAAGCACCACAATTTCCTACCGTGACACGGTGGTCGGGGAGGCGCGGGGCCCGCCGGGGAAGTCGAAGGCACGTCGGACTATGAGGATGAACATAACGATTGATATTATTACGGACAAGATTGTGTCACACCCTAGCTTACTAGCTGATATAAGCACTGGTTTGCTTACTATGAATAGCTTCACAAGTGTTGGTGGGAAGGTCAATTTGCTGAGGATGATTAAGAAACATGTGGTTGTAAAGATGAATTGCAGTATCACTGTGAATATTACTAGCCAGAGAATTCAAGATCAGAGGTGCAAGAAAAAGGTTAAGCTTTAATTAAGATATATATATATTATATGGTGTCATGATATTTTTGCTACTAGATATTCCTTTTGTTTCAATTCTCCATTCCACACCCATCTAACTTCCTTTTGAGTTTTGTATACTCTTGCTGTTCATTATGAGGAGTTTCTGGGGATGGCTTAGATGTTACTATAGTGCATATTTCGAAATTCTGTGTGCTCTATACTTGTATATTATCTTATTCCTCTGCCTTGATTTATTAATTGTTTTTGCAATTCTGTATGATCACAAATACTTTACTTTTCCTATGATGATGAGTTACAGAGAAGATTAGAGTAAATTTTGCTAGATGGGGCAAGTAAACACTATCCTCAACCCTCTGGCATTTTAATTGATGCATCACCAGTCATTGGTGCAAATACGGAATGCAAATATTCAAGCTCAAGAGTTTTGCTGCAATAAAGTGAAATTGAGTGACAATCCATGCAATTATTAACACTTAATTTCAATCTCCATTTAGATGATGATAATGAATCTCTCCCAACTATATATAATCACGGCTGACGTCTTAATAATGCCACACTTAATAATGGACGACTTGTTGCTAGATAGTAGTAAAAGCATGTCAAGTTCGAAGCCACAAAAAAAAAACATATCAAGTAGTACAAAAATAATGTGGAAGATTGACTTTTCATCTTTTTCCTAAATCTATTATGACAAGTAATTGCCGTCATAACTACAAACCCGCATTATTCACATTTTAAGGGTCACGACTCTTGCCTTTTCTTGTTCTCCACAGAAGAATATCTCGAATATTATATTTACCGAACTTTTGTAACTATATCAGATAACTTTATTGTAATATTGTAACTTTATTTATGAATTTTTTTATCTTGTAATATTAAATTGACCTACAATATCAAATAACTTTTAATATCAAACCAAATAAAGTAATTTGAAAATTAAAATAACAATATACTATAATTGGTTAACTTGCACTGCTAATATTAAAACTCATTATATTTTAGTGTATATAACCTAAAGTTTTTTTAATATTGGGCTGCTGCCAAACGCCACTTCTTCTATAAGCGTTTAGGTGACATTATATTAATACGAATAGATTAGCCCTGTAATAACTGAGTTGGTTGAAGCCTTGAAATGTTCAGGTACACGTGTAAGGGCAACTTTGACTTTGCTTTGTGTTTTACTTTGGCTTAGCTAACTCTCTCGCGTTTTCTTTGACTTGTTGCATCATATTAAAAAAATTCTCAAAAGATATACGTTTATATATATATATNGATAATATGTACGGAAAGAGAGAAACCATTTTGGATGGAGAAGATGTTGCATTTGTGAGAGCAAATTAATGGAGAATGAAACAAACCGAATAACAACCAAACCAACTAGCTATACTGATTCACTGAACAGGATTACAAATAACTGGAAATTGTAATGAAACAGTAAAAGATAATTGATATATAACATAGAGGGATGAGAGGACAGAAATACACCATAGAAGAAGGAGATGAGAAGCTTAGACATAAAGAGATGAGAAGTACAGAGCTTTTCACATAACATTTGCCTAATCTTCAAATCCAGACGATAACCCCTTTTATTCACATAGTCACGTGCTTCCTTAACATGGATCCCACACAAATCTTTTGTTGGGCTTTCTAAATCTTGGACCTCTTCGCAGTTTAGCCCCCAGCCCAACAGCCTCTGTCCAAATATCTGGCCCATACACATTATTTGAGTTATCTTGGTTCACAACAATACTCCCGCCCTCAAAAAGAACCTTATCCTCAAGGTAACCTTATTCTCAAGGTTCGAGTAGAGCCACACTAATATTGGAGTATTAGTGAATCTATCAAGACTTGAATATGTGTCAAGAGCTGACCAATGTCTATCAATCTTAAGAATTGATGAATCAAATTTAGTGCCCTTTGCCACTTCTAAATTACCAAGAGAAAAAACATAAGCCACAAATCTAAAAGTTGCTTCATGTTCCTTCACCCTAAGTGTAACAATTTCCATTACCTTTTTTATACCAAGAGAGCCATGAGAACCAGTAACACTTACTAGTCCATAGCAATAAGACTGATTGAGGTAGTCAAATGATTCAGGATCCCCCAACCTACACCTTTTGTTCATCTCCGCGGGTACTGCATAGAGAAGATAGAAACAATGATGATTCTGTTCAAGAACTAAAAATAATAATTCTTGAGATCTTTCAAGGAGAAGCGTTTCCTTTTCGACACTAGATACTCTTCTAGACTTGTCAAACTGAGCCTCCAGAAATATACCACCACAACTTGAATTGTCAGTTTGTACTGTTTTGGCATTGCTAATTAGTTCACGTAGTGAATTTGACTCAAGAAGTTGCTGGTCCCTACTGTGTTCTGCAATGCTTATACAGCCAACAAAATAGGCAAGATAACACATAAGCCTCCCAATAGTTGTAACCTTTCCAACTCTACTCTTAGGATCAACCAAGATAGAAGTGCTTTTACCCTCAATTATCATTGTCCTGTGAACACTATCAGCAACAATAATTGAAGCTCTTTTCATCAAATCAACCTCTACATCATCTAATAAAAACACGCTTTCCATCATAGTCAAGCTACAAGCATGTAGTGCATCAAACTCATACAACAAAGAATCGGGCTGGAACTCAATAATTCTGTCACCCGGATCTAAAATAGATCATAGTATAAAATAATGAAGTCATTGGCACACATCTAGCAACTGCTACGGCAAAATCAGTTAGCAAAAGGTAAGAATGGGTACCCCATTTCCGTCCAAGATCCCATACTTAAGTCATAGGGTTAGCATATGTAATGAGGTAAAACTTACCAGTAGATCCCACTAATAATAGTGCCGCAATGTTCACCGTATAACTTGTTAGAGCCATAAACTTGGAATGTATTATTGGATCCCATACAAAAAGATTCATCGCAGGTTGTTGAGCAAGTAAATAACAATCAGTTATTCTTGCATGCTGAAACTTAATATTTCTACAAGATGAAATAAAAAAGTCAGGGAAAAGGAGATTTTCGTCGCAGCTAGGCATATTCTTCTCAGTTCCACCACAGCAGCAACTCATCTAGTCAAAGAAAATCTGATCTTCACTCAACTTAGACAAAGCATCCAAGCATCCAAGCTTGCAAAGTCCATAAGAGGCCAAAGCTTAACTATTTCTTCTTTAGCATTCTTTTCCACGAGGACACTGTCAGTAGACCAAATGCCAACAATAGTAGTGTACTTTGTTTCTCTAAATATAGTTCTGTCGCTCTATAATACTGAGAGCATATGTAAGATATATTTGGTTCTCTTTCAATTAGCACTTTAGCATGTCCCCAGTCACATAAATTGACTAGAGAAGCCTGTAAATTCACTAAAATATTGTGATGTTTAATGTCTTTGTGACGTACGCCGATAGTGCGACAAACGTAGGACAATGCCCCAAAAGTTTGAAATGTGTAAAGCTTCACAAGTAAGAGAGTGCGTTTAGATGTCCTAGGTTGCAATTGAAGAACCTGGAGGCGTCCGATAGTGGTTACCATGAACAAATACGCACCAGGATCAAATGGGAATTGATTTAAAATACATAGATCAGGGGATGGAATCAATATGACCCTCTAATATCCTAATAATCTGCTTGAAATCATCTACAATCATGACTAAATAATATCTTGCAGCGCCAACAACTGTGGTGAACAAACCAAAACTAGGATCAAATGAAAAGTACGGCGAAGTAGACCTTGCTTTATAAACTAGACCACACACTGCAAGAAACAATCTAACGGTTTTATTAGCCTAAATATTTGGTGACTGCTTGGAGTTACTTTCTCCGCCATAGTAGGTTCGCATGTTACAGACAATAAGAAACCATGAAATTTTCTCTCCTGCCTAGTATCAACCTAATTGCATTTGTGTAGGTTAACATCATGGTGATGGAATAACATATTTTGATTAGCACCAACAAATGGAAATACTCTCCCAGGAAATCTCCCAATAACATTCGACATGACATATCCTTGTCTAGCAAAAGGAATATGATAACCAGTTATATCCCTTAGAGGAGAAATTTCTAACACCGGAGATGTATTGTCTCTTGCAATTTCCTCCTCTTTATGTTTATATTCCAATAGTTTAGTTACATTATAATTGTAACCAGTTAAACCCACAAATGAAGTAATGGGAATAGAGTTTGAAGAAATATCGATTGGATTAACTAGAACCTCGGTTTGCAAGGTCTCAGAGTGAGACTTGTGTGTGTTGCCATTTGCCAGAGAACCTTCATGAAACACCTGGACCTCCTCTGATTTTGCATTGTTTAAAGCAGATTCCGTTGTATCAGTAAGGATTTCAACATTTGATCTCTTAGTAGCAAACACCTTGGAATAACAGCATTCATATGACATATTGTCAAACGCCCGGGCTTCAATTTCTGTAGAATATTGCTTGATTGCAGCCATGTGACCTTCCAATGATTCGAGCTGCTGTTTACGAAAAGGAATTCGCACCTTCACAACAAAGTGTTCCCAATCCGTCAATTGTTTGTTCCGGAGAAGCCATCGAAACCACTTTAATGCCTCACCTTCGAGGTAAATAGACGGCATAATATTTTGTTATTTTCTGATGTTCCGTAGAATTCAAAGTAGCGTTCAGCCTGAGAAATTCATAACTCTGGATCCTCACCACAGAATCGTCGGAATTCCACCGGAGTAGGCTTACTCGTTACAAGGTTTTTAATCAACTCATGTAACAATGAACGAATTTTAGCGATATCCTTCGACCACGAATCCTTCACGACCTTAATTGAATCATCGATAGTTCGAAATATTTGGTCCTCCATTAAAGACCTCTAGATGAAATCACTAATGAAATAAACTGAATAACAACCAAACCAACTAGCTATATTGATTCACTGAACTGGATTACAAATAACTGAAAATTATAATGAAACAGTAAAAGATAATTGATATATAACATAGAGGGATGAGAGGACAGAAATACACCATAGAAGAAGGAGATGAGAAGCTTAGACATAAAGAGATGAGAAGTACAGAGCTTTTCACATAATATTTGCCTAATCTTCAAACCCAGACGATAACCCCTTTTATTCATGTAGTCACGTGCTTCCTTAACCTGGATCCCAGACAAATTTTTTGTTGGGCTTTCTAAATCTTGGACCTCTTCGCAGTTTAGCCTCCGGCCCAACAGCCTCTGTCCAAATATCTGGCCCATACACATTATTTGAGTTATCTTGATTCACAACAGAGAATCAAGCAGTTGTTGCCTG